ATCTATACATTTTAGCAGCTAATAGCTAAATTTGAAATAAAGAGAAAGGGAAAAATCTTCAACCATCTTTCTGACTTTGGAATGCTAGAGCTATGTTGGACCTCAGCATCCATAATGCCAGGTGGCTATACTATCTGTATCAATTAGGGAAATGAAGTCTAATGTAACTGGATGTTACCTTTCTGGATAAGGCTGTCCAAAGACTGCTAGTGTTCTTCTCTCTATGCAGTGTGAAACTCAGAAATCTCAAAAGATGATAAAAATGTACTTTCACTGTGTGATTACATATATTTTAAATTTCTGTTTTCTGGCTGAATAGGAAAGGGAATCTATCTGTAATAATAATTTCTCTTACTAGGAAACAAGCACCGCTGTTTTAGAAAATATTTAATATACCTAAAATAATAATAATAAAAAAATTCCATATGCCTTTAAAACATTATTAAAGCACATAAAAAAGAGAAACTGTGGGGTAACTCATATGATGACTTCAGTCAGGCTTATTTGCAAATCTGCCACTCTATGTTTAGTCATTTGGAAATTGTTTCCAGTTGTCACTGCACAAATAGATAATAATAACAACAACAACAACAACAACAATAATAATAAATAAACTGCGCTATTCGGAACATCTTACATTTTAAGGAGGTACCTGGTTGATACCTAGGATGCTGATAGCAACCCATGTCAACCATCAGTGCCCGTCAATTTGAATGTTCAGTTGACTGAGGTTCACGTCTAATGAGTAATAGTAGTAGTAGTAGTAGTAGTAGTAGTAGTAGTAGTAGTAGTAGTAGTAGTAGTAGTGATGGAAAGGATCTTGGAAGTCTTCTTGTCCAACCTCCTGCTCAGGCAGGAAACCCTATAACAGTGGTGGCGAACCTATGGCACGGGTGCCAGAGGCGGCACTTGGAGCCCTCTCTGTGGGCACACGTACCATTGCCCCAGCCTTGCCTCCCCCTGCGACCCCCTCCTCACCAGCAGCCCCCCTGGAGGAGAGTCGCCCCCGAGCATGGCCTACGTAGAGCAGCACAGCCAAGGACATGGCAGCCAGGCAGCGTAGACAAGACTCTGTCTGCACACCCCATCATGCACAGTTGATGCTGCGGGGTGTGGGCAGAGGGCATGGCCGCCATGGCGCTGCTGGGCTGCCTGGGCGATCTGCGGCAGGCCCTGGAGTGAGTGGTGAGTGGCCTTGTGGGTAGGCGGGGTGGGGGCGGAGCGGGAGTGGGGCAGGGGGTGGAGTGTGGGCAGGGCCAGTTTTTGGGCACTCGGTCTCTAAAAGGTTCGCCATCACTGCCCTATAAGATTTCAGACAAATGATTGTCCAGTCTCTTCTTAAAAACTTCCAGTGTTTTATGATATTTGTCATTGTGCAACTTTATTATAGAGACCAACTTGGCTTTGCAACAGTCACCATTAGATGCATCAAATTGAATAAAAGATTGCATCTTATCTATATACAGCAGTTGACCTAGTGGCATTCCTCATTTTAAAAATGCATTATAGTGAGTAGAAATCCTTATTCCCCAGTAGACTTCTGGCAACCTTACCATATTGCATCCTGTTATCTCTTCAGAACAAAATTTCATTAAGTTTTTGGAGAATTGTTAATATTCTCTTACTATAATTAAAAGATTTTTCTGCAAATGATTCATGTGTCAGTTTTCAAGTCACAATAAACCAATGAATTTCTAAAGTAGCTCATTTATAAAAGTCTATCTCCACTATCCTTTATTATACAGGGAAATACATTATTTTATAAGATCCCTTTTAAAGGCGTGCTTTATAAATCATCTTGTAATGGTATGTGGGAAAGACTTTGGAAGACGGGGCAAAGAGGAACAGTCTAAGGAACAATCAGATGAGAGGCAGCATAACCTGCAGCTATATAGTGGGCAGAGCAGTAGGCTCAGAAGAGACTTTCACTAAGTTCTCTGCTGGAAAGGTGACCACAGGATAACTATACTTTCAGACTTGCAAGATTCTGTTAACATAGCATTACCATAAAGTAGAACTAGTTTATCTGGTTGTGTTTCCTGCCTGGCCTACCTGTTAAAGCCAACGTTAATCTTTCAAGTCTCATGCAGTCTTCCAAAGAAAGAAATTTTTGGAGTAACCTCAATCCTTAAAGAAATCTATTATCTGCCTAGCACCTGGCAGCAGCATTATTGCAAAACCAGCAGCAAGTGGATATACAGATGGCTAATTTACATAATGTGACACCTGGAGTAGAATTTGCCTCAACCAGTAGCAGTGCAACCAATGGCAACTCGGCCCTAATTTTGCTGGCCATATACTTATAAGAGGGTATGTACACTTACACTGCCACATTATTCTAGTTTTTTGTTATTTTTTCCACCACTAAACAATTATAGTTTGTTTTTCAATTGAATTTGTACAACTTATATGTTAAAGGTGGAAAAACATTCTGAAGTGATTTATCTTGCTCTGATTTTTGTACATCTCAAAAACCTGGCATTTTAACGGGTGTGCAGATTTTCTATATCCACTGTAAAACCGCTGTCCCAGCTCCTAAAAAATGCTTGGCAATATACTCCCTTGGTTGAGGGGAAAAAAGTGGCCTTTCTAGAGTGAAAATAGTTTTTTTCCTCTCAGCTCCTTCAGCATCTCATTGCCTTCTGCCCCTTTTTTGTGCCGACGAACACTTCAGATATGGCCATAGATGCAGTTCTACTCAAGGGGGACAGATTTACTACCATGGGCCTTTTATTCCAGACCGTTCCTCCCAGCAGAAAAGAACTATGATATTTTCAATGAAGAGTTGCTGGCTGTAGAGAAATGCCTTTCACCAATTAGTGACACCTCCTGAAAAGGGTAGCCTTTTCTATGCAAGTTCATACAGACCATAAGAATTTAGAAGTTCTGCAAAACACTTAATTTCTCACTCCTCAGCAAATCAGGTGGACACAATATTTATCCTTCTTTTATTTTTACATCTCATAGGTTCCAGCTTCCCAAACAAATTTCCAGGTTCCCTCTCATGTAAGCCGGAGTATGAGTTGCCAGTCCCATATCCCCTGCAATACTACTTGAGCCATGCATCTTTGAGTTGTACCAAAAATCAGCAAACACAAAAAAGCTGGCATCAGGAAGAGAGGCTATTGATCTCTTTCATCAGGAAAGAGGAAGTGTAAGGGGTAAACGTTGCTGGAATCTAGTCCCAGAGGGAAACTTGATGCACTGGAAAGGTTACCGCACAGTCTTTTGTTTGTTTGTTTGTTAGAAGTTTCAATGAAGGCAATGTTATTTGTGTTTTCTTTTTGTTTTGTGCTGTCCCAGATGCTCAGTTATTCATTGTTTCAGGTCCTCTTGTTTTTTTTATTTAGAAGGCTTTGTTCTTTCTGAGGAGAAGGCAGAAGAGAGGGTGCCTGATTTTGGAATGAAAACAATTCAATAACTATACTGGCTTCCTCTATTGCTGGCTCTCCTGGTTCACCTCTATGGTGTGAGCTACTTCAGATAAGGGTTCCATCGATTTCTTTGCTCTTGTAATTCTTCTAATTCAACTTCTGTGAATATTTTGTATTATAAATAAACTTTGATCTGCTAGCTTCTGTTCGTTTCTTTCTGATTCTATACGTTGTTCTTTCCAGAACTGATGCTTTATCTTTAGACTTGATTTGTAATAGCAGATCATTGTTTCTTTATCAATCTTTGTATATTTGAGATGGGTATGAACATTTTCTTCTAGCAGTTCTACATCTGCTGACCCTGATTACTCAGTCATTTGTCCCAGTCCTATAGCCCACTTATCGCCAAAATGTTCAAGAACTAATACACTTAGAATGGTGTTTGTTGACCCGGGTGACAACCAATTGAGTATAGGTTTCTATAAATTACTTTTTACCGTATTATTTATGTGAGACGCACACTTCATTATTGGAGAAGCACTCCTCTTTGTGAGAGTTCCTTGTTCCTCAAGGTCTGGACACAGCATGGCATAGCAAATCTGCACACAATTTTATATCGCAGCAAATACACTTTCAACAATACGCTATTGCTCTGATCACCTCCACCATGCTAGGACTTTGCCAGGTGATGTTGCCACATAAAGATGTCTTCAAAACTCAGCTTTTAAAGCTCAGTCTATCAATACTCATTTTACCCAAAAGTCTCAAAGTCTTTTAGACTTTCAGACTTTGTTAGACCCCAGTGTGTTATGTTATTTATAACTACTTTGTGTGAATCTTTTTGTACAAGCTGAAAATATGATCTACTGTTTCTTCTGCTTCTTTGCACAATCTGCACTTTGAATTATTTGACATTTTTTTTAATTCTGGCCTTGATTGCATTTGTTCAAATTATTAAGGTAGCATCTAATAATATAGGCAATTCCAAGCAGAATTTAATTTTGTTAAATTAGTGTTTTCAGATCTGATAAATTCAATATTTCCAGATGTCGAGGAAGTTCTTTAGGTATCACTCTAAGGGCTTCAGTCACAGTTGGTATAATAACATATTTCTTTTTCCGTGAGGGTTCAATTTCTATCTGCAAATCCTGGTGTTTTGTAATTGTTATAATATCATCTGTTAACAACAATACAAAGTCTTCACTGCCAATTCTTTAGCTGGTATCGGTCTGCATATGCATTCAGTTCTTCCCAGGAATCTAGAATGTTGTAAACTATTGGCATAGTGTATATACAGATCTAAGCAGTGTGGCCTTTTGTAATTGACAGATGGAGAATGATATAATAAAAATGAAATAGTCATTGCTTACCATTGGCATCTGGTTGGGCACTATCGTGACAAAATATTGAACTAGTTGAACCTTGGCTTAATTTAATATGACTGTTATATTCTGCTGTTCTTATGCCAGGAAATTAAAAGAATGAGTTTCTTTCTAAAGTAAGGTATTTTTTCATCCATCTTGCTGTATTATTATATGGGATTAATATGTTTATCTATACATTTCTAATATCAGTATTTCCTTTTACTTTAAAAATAATATTTTTTTCCTTTTTGTTTACTTCTAGGTTGACCCCCTCTTTACAGTGCCTGCACCTCCGCCTCCTATTTCCAGTAATCTGACAGCTCAGATTCTACCTTCCTATTTTTCACCATCTTCATCCAACATTGCAGCCCCGGTGGAGCAACTTTTGGTACGGACTCGTTCAGTGGGTGTGAATACTTGTGATGTTGGAATAGTAACAGAACCTGAATGCCTTGGACCATGTGAACCTGGAACCAGTGTAAATTTGGAAGGGATTGTATGGCATGAAACTGAAGAAGGTAAGATGTTTTCTTCCATCTCTCTCTTGTTTGTAATATTGCATTTGATTTAAAAGAAATATTGCTGAAAAATAATTAAATAGTATGCTTTGTTTTGTTTCTGCTGGGAAAAGAATTTCTTAAGTTATTCTGAGTCTGAATCTAGCCATAATTTTACAAATAATCTTTTTTGCTTTTGTTGTTTTTGAAGGATGGGGTTAGGTTTTATTCTAAAATCTTGCTAAACTATTATGTTGATGATATTTTGGTATAAGGTTTAATGGATTTTACATATGTTATCATAAGGTATGCATAGATACTCTTACAAAAGAATTATAAAATTGTGAAATCACTACATTAATATTCAAATTATTACATTTTTGGCATCTACAATATTCCAGTAAAACATATAAGTAACATAGATGGTTGTTACTGGATTTGCTGCAAATTTGATTAATCTCTTGTGTGCATAGGCAAAATTTATAATTGCATGTTAGCTACTTAAATATTTTGTTTTAAGTGACCTGAGAGCTTTGGGATAAATTGTTTGGGAATTGGAGATTTGGAAGATAACATCAGTCAACTGCAGTTTCATATAAATATAGATTTCCTTAAAATAATGAATAAAAATTCAAGCTACAGCTTGAAAAATAAATTGAAAGTTGTTAGCAAAAAGTCTAGACACTAAAAATGAATTTGAAAGATAATTATTTTTGACAAATTGGAAGCCACACAAAAATGTATTTTTTAATATTGATTTTCAAAAAATTCCCCTCATATGTGAACTACCTATAAATAGTACTACTGCACAGTTATTATGGCCACCTATTTTGGAGGATATGGTCTGAAATATTGAGAATTATTCAAATAGATTTTTATAGATGTTTTCTTCTTTCTGTTTGAATAGTATTTAATTACTAGTGATTTAATAGCTGGTGTAAAAAGAATGTGGTAGCTCACGAGGTTAGGACACTGGGCTGACAATTGACAGGCTTGCATTTGAGACCCGGTTACTGCTGCAGGCTGGGGTGAACTCCTGTCAACGTTCCAGCTCTTGCTGACCCAGCAGTTTGAAAGCAGGTGACCGCAAGTAGATAGATGGTTATCATTCCGGTGGACACCTTAACAGGGATATGAAAGGAGCCCCCAACCAGGCATCTGTGATGTCACCATCCAATCCTTTCAACCCGGAAACACTTTGGTGCTCCTGATATGAATGTAGTAGTAATAGCCTGTGTTTATTGAAACAAAGAAAGGGAATTTTAAAAGCGTACAATGCACTCCATTGATAATAAATCCTAATGTATTTTGGTTAGAAAAGATACAGCAAAGCTTGATTCTGTGGAATGGAGTATGAAACATTATCAGAGTGCATTAGCTAGGTTTGCAAAATGTTTTACACTGTGCCCTTCCACTTGTCTTCTTTGTATGTATATCTTCATCAGATTCGTAAACTAGATTGACACTTTAAGATTATTTTTTAAAGGTCACATAAGCAGTTTTAAAATATTTTAAGTGAGATAGCTGTCTATTTTGGCTTTAGTGTTCACCTTAGTGAATTTCACAGAAAATCAGAATATGTGAGAAAGAATTATGGTGACACAGAAGAGCAATGGCTTTTAATACTGTTATTTTTGCTGAGTAAACTAAACATCTGACCCGGCAGAATTAAGAAACATCTCTTGTTAAAGGTCTGGAGGGCAACAGTGTGCTATTTTATAATGTTCTTCATACTTGCAAGAATGACATTTCATCTATTTTCCTTCTGTGCTCAGATATATTCAGCCGAGAAGACTTTTACTTATTGATAAAAGATAACGCCTGATCTGTGCTTATAGATCCCCTGCTCCCGTTGTTGGTAAAAAGAGCAGTCTATCATCCTTGTTACTTATCTCCTATTCTGATTGTGCATTTACAAATCTGGGGAATTGGTTTGGCATAAACAAGATAAAGATAAATCCACTATCTCCTAATGTCAAATGTAAAGAAATTTTAAACTTGGTATTTTTTTGACAAAACTTCTCAAATTATACTGATAATATAATGAATAACATGAAAGAGTGACATATGATACTGCTTAACCGCATAAGCTTCTTAAAATAAAAAAAAAGGAATGCTTCTGATTTTTTTTTACGAATTTACTAAATTGAATGATTACTTTGGTGCTATGTTATGGAAGACTAAATATATCTTCATCTAAACTTTTTAATTGGAAATAAATTGTTTTAATTTCATTCCTAATATGATTTTACTGTGGGACTAGGTTTAAGGTTCTGATTTATATGGTAGTAAATGGAACATATTTTTTCTTGACTGGCATTTTGCATATCATTTTAAATAGTGAACCAATAGAATAGAACACTGTAAAAACTGTCATACTTGGCTAATTTAAACAGGAAAAATAATTCAGCATACTATAAGCCAAATGCTAGAAAAATATAAATCAGCTATAAACTTGGTTTGATGACACAATAGTACCTCGGTACTCATCTGGGATTCATTCTGGAAGGTGCGATGAGTACTAGAAACAACAGGTACCAAGCAAGCCACATGACTTACCATGTGACTCTTTATTTTGGATGGAAGATGTAACAAGTCATGAGGTTAGCCGATGCCAGCAAGTTCTACCTTGCACATCAAATACCAGGAGAAAAATAAATACCGAGCAAGATTTTTGCTTCAAAACTCGTCAAGTATCAAATTTGATGAGTTTTGAAGCAGATGTGTAACTGGCTGACAAACCATATTCAACAAGTTGTCCTTAATGGTACTACATCTACATGGAAGGAAGGAAGCAGTGGGTACTAGAAGGTTCCATCTTGGGCTCAGTACTCTTCAATGTCTTCATAAATGACTTAAATGAGAGAATAAAAGAGGAACTCATCAAATTTTCAGATGACACTAAGCTGGCAGGAATAGCCAACACCCCAGAAGACAAGCTCAGGATCCAAACAGATCTTGACAGACTTGAACAATGGGCCCTATCCAACAACATGAATTTTAATGTGGATAAAAGCAAGGCAGGAAAAACCAAAAGGTACAAGTACAGATTGGGCAAAACCTGGTTCAAAAACAGTGACTGTGAGAGGGACTTGGAGTTTTAGTGGACGATCACTTAAACATGAGCCAGCGGTGTGTAGCAGCAGCCAAAAAAGCTAATACAATCCTTAGTTGTTTAAACAGAGGCATAGAATCAAAATCATGTGAAGTATTAGTACCGCTTTATAAATTCTTAGTAAGGCCAAACCTGGAATACTGCATCCAGTTTTGGTCACCGCGTTACAAAAAAGATGTTGAGATTTTGGAAAAAATGCAAAAAGAGCAACTATGATGATTAAGGGCCTGGAGACAAAAACATATGAAGAATTCTTTCAGGAATTGGGTATGGCCAGTCTAGAGAAAAGAAGGACTAGGGGTGACATGATAGCAATAGTCCAGTATTCAAGGGGCTGCCACAAAGAAGATCAACTTATTTTCCAAAGCACCAGAAGGCAAGAGAAGAAACAATGGATGGAAACTAATCAAGGAGAGAATCAACCTGGAATTAAGGAGAAACTTCCTAGCAGTAAGGACAATTAACCACTGGAACAGCTTGCCTTCAGAAGTTCTAGGTTTTTTAAAAAAGACTGGACAACCACCTATCTGAAATGGTATAGGGCAGTGATGGCGAAACTGAGTGCCCAAAAACAGGCCCTCCACCCTGCCCGCTCCGCCCCCACCTCACCCCCATCCTGCCCCATCCCGCTCCCCATTCCCTGTCCTGCCTGCCCACAGGGCCACTCACCACCTCCACAGCAATGCCCAGCAACGCCATCGCAGCCACGCCCTCTACCTGTGCCCCGCAGAATCAACTGTGCGTGATGAGGCACAAGGGCGGAATCTTGTCCCCGCTGCCCGGCTGCCATGTTCTTGACTACGCTGCTCCATGTGGGCTGCGCTTGGGGGTGACTCTCCTCTGGGGGGCAGCTGGTGGGGTCATGTGGGGAGGTGGGGCTGGGATGACGGTGTGCATGCCCACAGAGAGGGCTCTGAGTGCCACCTCTGGCACGTGTGCCATAGGTTCACCACCACTGGTATAGGGTCTCCTGCTTGAGCAGGAGGTTGGACTAGAAGACCTTCAAGGTCCCTTCCAGCTCTATTTTTATTGATGAGAATGATATGGTGTCTGTAGAGGATGATGCTATATTTGGCATGAATTCTTAAAAAGGTAATACCTGCTGATTTAGCGCTGAAAAGAATTGCATTTGGGTATGAACTGATTATGTAGGTCACTTATATTCTCCTTTAAGAACTACTGTCACATTGCATTACTTATCTTATTTTTTTGAAGGCAGCAAGAACAATGATGCTTAATGTCCTTCTCTAATATTTAAAGAAATATTTTTTCTGCAGAAAAAGGACAAAGACACGTATTGCACAACTAAGCTTTGACCAGAAAATGTATTGTTAACAGTGCAGTTGTTAAATGAGGCATCATGTGACCACACCTGATTTTACAAACTTTTTTTGCCATGGTCATTAAACAAATTACCCACAGTCATTAAACAAATTACCCCCAGTGAGACATCACATGACTCCGATTTGTGACCTCCTCCTGGCTTTCCCATTGACTTTGCTTGTCAGAAGCTGGCTAGGAAGGTCCCAAATGGCAATCATGTGGCTGTAGGATGCTGCAACTGTCATAAATGTGTGGCAGTTGTCAAGCACCCGGATCCCAGTCATGTTACTCTGGGATGTTGTGATGGTCAGTTTTTGGAGCAGTCATAGATCACTTTTTTAAAAACTTTTGTAACTTTGAACAGTCACTAAATAAATGATCATTAACAAGGATTACCTGTAACATAAATAGGCAGTATCATCCAGAATAGACCTAAGACTACTGTATACTATTTAACTTTTCCTTCCTTCCTTCCTTCCTTCCTTCCTTCCTTCCTTCCTTCCTTCCTTCCTTCCTTCCTTCCTTCCTTCCTTCCTTCCTTCCTTCCTTCCAGATATGTCACAAAAATTAATTATTGGGCTTT